AATAAACATTATTGTAGACAAACTTGGCAAATACAAAAGGCAACAGCAATATTATTGATATTTATTAACTATCAATTGGTATTATTATTGCGTGGTGCAAAGCAGACCCAATAGGCATTAGCCACAGCACCCTCCAGGGGCACGCTCACCTCCCTAATCTCCTTGATCTTGCAGCCCCCCTTGCCGATGAGCGAGCCGCACTGGCTGGCAGGGACCACGATGCGCAGGGTGACAGGCGGCTTGCTGGAGGCCGTGCTGTTCGTCATGGAGCTACATATGTCCTACAGTGAGAAAGGCAGGGACCTTTAGCTGTGCAGCAGCCAGAAATGCTATTTTAAAAGGACTATTTCTGTGCTAGCCAGAGACAGCAACCTGCACTGACACCCATGATGCTGTTAAGCAGGGATCAGCAATTACAAAAAGCTTAAACCTGGAAAACGTCTTCATTTGCAGCTTTTCGACGTTAGATATCGGGGGTGGGGCCAAGTCGGGTAGGGTGGGGAACACACAAAAAGGCGCCTGGTGAATTTAACAAAACTGGCAGGTGTGTGGGCTGAGGGTGCGAAAGCACAGGCAGGGGCCCAGCGCGGTGTGCAGTAGTGACAGCGATACCTCCTCCAGCTTCTCTATGATCATGGAGAAGGCTTTAAAGATGGCGGTGGTAGGGCCTGCCAGTGTTATGATCCTCTCAGGACAATTCCCCTCGGAGATGTTGATGCGAGCGCCGCTCTTGTTAATAGATAAGAGAAGAGAAGTGCAAAGACATACGCAAGAGAACATGCAACACCTGGAAACTATTTTCAGTATTGCATCATATGAATTTGCACAATTACAAGCTATTTCTATGCACACTGGTGTATTTCCTGGTCAAGTACATCTCCATAGCAATGAAAGCAAAGATGAAGTGCAAGAATGCTTACTTCTTCTCTCATCTTCTTCACAGATTCTCCTTTCTAATGGAAGGAGGAGAACGTGTTACCACATATCACAGTGACCTCTACAGCAAGAGCAGCTTCCGAAAGCATGAAGACCACAAGGAGCGACCTTACCTTGCCAATTATACTTCCAACTTCCTAAAAAAACAAAAAAAGAAGTGTTTAAATGGGAGATTTTGGGGCTTTTCATCTATGCCCTTTTACACCACTAAGTAGAATCACACAGTTATGAAGGCACAGTGATTTATATCAACAAAACCAACAGATTTCATGCGAACAGTATCCATGACTTAATTGAAGAACGTGTGACTGACGGTGGCATTTCAGTCATCATAGTCAGTCATGAGGGCTTTCTAACCTTTCCATGCATGAGCAACCTGATAGTCAGGGTGACATTGAGCCCAGCCTCAATCACACCGGAGTCCATTACTGCAGCGTCAGGGTGGAGGGCAGAGCGAGTCAGAGAGCTGGTGTCTTTGGTCACAAGAATGGAACCTGAGTAAGGGAGGGATGGAAACGGCAAATATGACCAAAGTCAGGGCGAAGCCTACAAACTGCACATAACTGATAGAAGCAGTGTTCTTCAGAATCATCTTCACAGAACACCAAAACAGTCACTACAAAACGTGAGCACTGCAGTGTTAAGCAAGGTTCGATGTCTTTTACAGAAGCCTAACTAAAACTACTCCGTGATGATATCAAGTGTACCGGGGCTGAACCTTAGTTTTGGACGGGTCCATCTTCCATCAACAGATGTGCGATCACACGCCTGTCTTCCGCACAACATCTCAATATATACAACATTAACATTTACTGGGAGCTCTTAACTCGTCATAACACGAGAGACGCGCAGATTCTTAGACATTTAAGAACATCGCGTACTTCAGCAACGATAAGCCAGCTATCTAGGTACGTTTCTGGGAAAACTTAAATCCCACAACAACCCCCGGGGAGTTTAACCTCCACTCCCCTAAAAAAAGCAAGCCAGATAACATATGAACAGGGTGTCTTTGCTCAGTGACAAGTAACAAAACACTTAGACTGCGTCCCTTTGCGATACAGTGAAGGGGAGGGGGTACAACTCAAACTGTGCACAATGGGCCTTTTATTAAAAAATAAAAATGTTAGCTCTCACCTCCGTTTAAAAGTCCAAGTGGGAATATCACGTTTGAACTGGCCATTTCAGGAGACACTTTTAATAAGCATTTTACGCATACTTAACAAGCCTACGAGAAGAGCAGAACAGCCGTCAGAAGTTAAACGGTGACAGTACTCAGTATTCTGCATCAATAAATAGACAAAGCGATCAGACTTGATTACATGTACCATTCATCAACTTACAGTTTCCCACTGGTTATTACCGTGCGCAGTTAACGTTTCTGACTAGAACCTCAATCTTGTCGCGAGAGGAAGAAATGCAAATAAAGCGATGTGTCACACACATATACACGTACACACAACATTATACACCGCCTAACGAAGCTCTTGAGATATGACGGTAAGCAGTATTAGCAGCTATAACCGGGGCCGCCTGAGTAAACAAGCCGACTCGTAGCGAGCACTACTGCGCATTGTGAGCTGCGCGCTCCTGCGGCCTCGCGGCCACGCTCGCCACCAAGCCGCGGAAGCGGGCGCCGTGCGCGTCGCCTGGCGCTTTTAAAACCAGCGACAGCCTTCAACAAATAAATAAAAGCAATATTAAGCGTTCTTACCTGTCCGATGTCCGATGTATTTGAGGGGGAGGGTGGGGTTTTAAGGGTAGAAGGGGAAAGGTTCGGGAGGGTATACACCCCCGGGGGTGGGGAAGAGATTTTGAAGGATTCAGGGGGAAGAGGGAAAGAGTGATATTACGAGAGTCAGCTGCACTGTTTCGCACAAAGACAACAAAACCACCACCACCAGCACTAGCAGCAGCAGCAGCAGTAGCAACACCTCTCAACTTTCACCTTTCACCCACCCCTCTCCGCTTTAACCCCGCCTAGGACATTGCGTAGCAGTACCAATCGTACGTGGAAAATACTTTACGGAGACGCATAAAATCGCGAAAAGAAACAAGTGCTAATCGGCGACGAGCGACAACATCAATTCAAGTAGAAGTTTTAATTTCAGAACGAAACGTCTGTGAAAAATTCAGTACGAGACCCCAAAAAACGTCACATCTTTGCTGAGGGGCGGATTTACGCAAATCACTGACGTAGCGGCTCGTGTGCCGGAGGGTGCACGTGCCATCTAGCGCTCCTTGGTTTTCGTTTACGGCTTGCGGCGTTTGAGTGTATGTGTGTGTGTGTGTGTGTGTGTGTGTGTGTGTGTATACATATATATATATATACACACACATTAACACCAGGGCAGAGACGGCGTTGCCAGTAAACAGTATACATAGTTTTACACTATGAAGATCATTTAAACAGCATACACACACATACATATATGTGTGTGTGTGTGTGTGTGTAACAAAAAAAGTTGAGCACCCAGAAATAATAGTCCGATTTGGATGTAATTTGGTACACATGCAGATCAGCGATGGGTATGCAAATGATTCAATTTGCAAGGAGCTGACACGTCTAGACACCAGACACAGTGGATGCCTCATAGACGCAATAGACAGCATTACCAGCACTTGATGGAGTTTGATAGGGGTCACATTGTGGGTTTGCATGAGGCCGGGTGGTCGTATCGTGCAATTGCTCAGCACGTGGGGCACGCAGATGTCACAGTCGCCCGATGTAACCAACGGGCACGTGAGGGCACCAACACACGTCATGAAGGTTCCGGTTGCCCAAGACAGACCACACAAAAGGAGGATCGTTGTATGCGCCAAGCATTACAGAACCCCATGACATCTGCACCTGCCATCGGGACACAGGTACAGTATTGGATTCTCTACAACACCCTGTGTCGTCCCGCACCGTGTCTCGACGACTGGCATCAGCCGGAATACGGGTTCACCGTCCCATGCGTAAGCTGGCGTTAACACCAGGGCAGAGACGGCGTTACCAGTATACAGTATCTTTATTTTTATTTACACACACACACACACACACACACACACACACATATATATATATATATACATACACACTGCTCAAAAAAAATTAAAGGAACGCTTATTAATCAGAGTATAGCATCAAGTAAACTAAACTTCTGGGATATTGACATGGTCAGTTAAGTAGCAGAGGAGGTTGTTAATCAGTTTCAGCTGCTTTGGTGTTAATGAAATTAACAACAGGTGCACTAGAGGGACAACAATGAGACGACCCCCAAAACAGGAATAGTTTAACAGGTGGGGGCCTCTGACATTTTTCCATCCTAATGTCTTCTGACTGTTTTTTCACTAGTTTTGCATTTGGCTACAGTCAATGTCACTATTGGTAGCATGAGGTGATACCTGGACCTTACAGAGGTTGCACAGGCAGTCCGACTCCTCCAGGATGGCGCATATTGATGTGTCATTGCCAGAAGTTTTGCTGTGTCTCCCAGCACAGTCTCAAGGGCATGGAGGAGATTCAATGAGACAGGCAATTACTCTAGGAGAGCTGGACAAGACTGTAGGTCTTTAACCCATCAGCAGGACCAGTATCTGCAAGGAGGAACAGGATGAGCACTGCCAGAGCCCTACAAAATCACCTCCAGCAGGCCACTAGTGTGCATATCTCTGACCAAACAATCAGAAACAGACTTCATGAGGGTGGCCTGAGGGCCCGACATCCTCTAGTGGGCCCTGTGCTCACTGTCTGACACCGTGGACCTCGATTGGCATTTGCCATAGAATACCAGAATTGGCAGGTCCGTCACTGGCACCCTGTGCTTTTCACAAATGAGAGCAGGTTCACCCTGAGCACATGTGAAAGGTCTGTAAAAGCTGCAGAGAACATTATGTTGCCTGTAACATTGTTCAGCATGACCGATTTGGTGAGGGGTCAGTGATGGTCTGGGGAGGCATCATCCATGGAGGGACGCACAGACCTCTAGAGGCTAGACAACGGCACCTGATTCCAAAGTGTTCCTTTAATTTTTTTGAGCAGTGTATATATCAGTCAAGTAGTTGCTTCCGGAAACGTCAAAGAAGGTTTCAATCATTTTTTTAATTGCATTCAAGAGCTTTACACATTGTTTTACCCAAAGATATCAAGCATGAAATGGCTAAGCTTGTATCCTGATGCAGACTTACTGTACATTTAGGTTGAAAGGCATTTTCAAAAAAAGTGTAAACATACATCTGGTCCCTGCATTACTACTAAATCACATCCTATTACATGCATTGCAGGAACTTAACTTTTTCTGAAGATAGAGAAAGAAGTGGTTTAATAGTGATCTAATTGTGTTTTCAGATAACGTTCCACTTTTAGGTTGAATGAATTCATAACAGCTCCAGTTCCTGTACAGGACCCCATTAAAGGGAAAATAAAGGAAATAAAACAGTAACCAGAATGTTTTTGGTATCATATTTAAACATTACAGTAATGCTTGAAATTATGCAGAGCAAATATAATCAATATATAATTTTATATGTTGAAATACAAGTGAAGGTTTCATTAGTTTGCAGAGGTTTAATTGAATCTTTTATCCACACAGCCACCCTTCAGTTTTAGTGAGAGAAATCAGCCTTTTAGTCAGAGTCACTGCTGCTGCTGCTGGAGGAGGAATGCTGGGAAAAGAAAAAATACCACAGAGTTAAGGGCCATCACCGCTGATTCACCGAAGGTACAGAGAACACTCCTCCAGCCAAACAACACTGCAGCAATTGGTAGTGACTCATCACGCATGTATGCTTTGAACCGTCCATCAGAGCACAATATCATTTTACAATAAGTTCAAAGGCTCTTACAAAGCAGTAGCAGTGCCTTAGTGGTTACCACTGCTGCCTCACACTTCCAGGATTCCAGTGTCACCCTCACTGGGTGTATGTAGACTATAGTGCATTAAGTACCCTGTGATGCACTGGCATTCTTTCCAGGGTGTACCCCAGTCTTGTACCCTATGCTGTCTGGGCTCCAGGCCCCCCTGTGATCCTGACTAGGATAAGTGGTTAGAAAATTGATGGATGGTTGTAACAAAACCACATTTGGAATAGCTTTATTAATTCAGCAACCATACACAGAACTAAATGCTGAAAGGTACATCTCTGCTAAATCTGGGCTATACAAGAAGTTATAACAAATAGTACCATCAAACTATACAGTCCAAACTGCCTCCCTTAAGATGCAAATATGCCCCCCATGGCTGGACCTACCTTCCCATGCTTATGGTGTTTGTGGGCCTTCTTCATCTTTTTCTTCATCTTCTTGTTCATGTTATATCCAGCCATCACACCCCCTGCACCAGCCAACCCCGCTGCCATGCCCCCAGGAAAGCACCCTGGCATATACTGACCACCTCCTGGAATTTGGGGCGGGCCAGGATGGTACCCACCAGAGAAGTTACCCCCAGGGAAACCAGGAGCACCAGGGTTCATGGGATATGTGGGCTGTCCTGGGCCTGGGTAGGGCATTCCTCCAGGCTGAATGGCTGGATTCATACCAGGGGGATAAACTGGATTTGGTGCAGCTGGGTAAACTGGGTTAGCTGGGTTATGCCCAGGGGGGTAGGCGGGGTTGTAGGGTGGTGGACCAGTGGGGCAATTCATTGGGGGTCCTGCCAATAAATACTGGATTAGTAACACCTATGGGAATTCCATTCAAAATCATTGAGTATTAATTATAAAGTCATAATATATATTAAATTAATTTGACATATATACACATTTCCACAATATTCAGCCGTAGTTTGACAAAGTAAAACATGTCAGAAGTGCTCGTGACTAAGCAAATCCATGCAATGCGACCCTTGCACTTTTGTCGTTGCTCCGATACGCGGGCACGAGTTTAATGCAAACGTTACAGGCACACACATTCACAGCAACACGACAGCATCCACATACATACCTTGGTTAGGCCACATTAGTACTTAACGGATCAGAAAACAAGATGAGCTGAAATACATAAGCATGCAATTATGCATTTAGTTTCAATAAATCAAATAATCGTCGATGAAAAGATAAAACAACAATACATATCTTTTTCCATTTATCAAGAGAATACGCAGTCGCGTTTATTCTAGGAAACTGATCTAAAACTATACAATGACTACACACATTATCTTAGTCATTGCTCAAGTACCAGAAATAAAAGTATCGCACGCCTGTCTATTATTTTACAACTTCTTTCGAGCTTGAAAACAAATCTATTAATATTAAACGTTTTTGGAATTATTTCTAAGCTTAAAATACATTTTAAATACGTAGTTGAAGTGCCCAGTGCCACTTCCATTGTATTTTTATAACATAACTAAATCTATAACATACCTTTCTAAGTTACTGCACGCCCTTGCTCTGTTTCGCAGATGGTTTCAGTCGGTTATACGCATGCGCGCTGCTTCCACTTCCGCCTCGGCGCTCAGAGCTCCGCCCCCTAGACGTGAAATCTGTGGTAAAAACCTCTAGGCGATGTTTTGAGTTTGGGAAAAACATGCGAGGTGGGGGGCATCTCCGTCATACCCGTAGGACCCGTTCGACTGATAAAACCTGTTCACAACGTTTGCGTTCGACTGTATATAAAACGTATCGGCCATTTTATTTTAGTTTAAACTCCGTCTGCTTCATCAGGCTTCGCGGTATATAAAAAAGAATCTCAGGTCTAGTATGTTATTCTTGTGTGTTCTGTGGAACTATATTTGCCCGTAGTGTCACTTGACAGTCGTGAAACCAGTCCATGTGTTTTTCTCACCAGCTTTGTTGAGTAGAGTACTATACCATGTTGCATTTTTTATGTAAGCGGACATCCCACCTTAGGCATATTGATTACAGAGAAGTGGAAATTTATCGATATCAGTGGGATGAGGGTGGGGGAGGGGTTTAGCGATAAAAGCTGGGGGATTGAACCCTAATATTTCGCAAACTATGGTATTGAGATATATGGTTATAATACAGTGAAAATTTAACACTGTGGCCGCTAGTATATATACCTTTTGATCACATTTATGCTACTGCTTTCCCATGATTTTTGTACTTGAGTACATATGCAGGTACTGTGACGTGGTATTTGAAATGCTTACAGGAAAAAACCCATACTGAGGTCTGTACTGTATTTCAATTTTCTTTTTATTAAAATGAATTTTATAGGTATCGGTATTCGTACAGGTAGGCGTGGGCGATATGACGATATGAGATCGTGAAGACGATCTATGTGTTGACGATCTGCCAAAGCAGAGAGATCGTAGAATCGTCTATATAGATTGCATTCCATCTGTCTATTGCGGCTCTATGCTCTTCCTATGAAGATTCCTCAGCCAAAGATTCCTTTCTTCTATTTTTTCCTCAGCCAAAGCGCACTATTTGCTAGTTCGCTTAATACCCGCCTTATAGAAACAGCGCTCAGCTAACCAAAGTGCTCCACCACTCTCTTCGATTGAGTGTAGCGGGAAGCAATGGCTTGAAAGTGAGGATGTACTGGATGAGTTGGTCCCTAAAAAAACTCTACATAGGTGATATTGAAGTGGTTTGGCTTTTACCCAAACGATAAGGAACAAACAGTTTTTATTTGCAAAGTCTGCAGAGAAAAGGTTCGCGCGTCGGACGGAAGCACGACGAACCTTTTCAATCACTTAAAGAGACAACATCCGAAACAGTATGCCGAGAGTATAGAGGCTAGGAGATCAGTCACACCACAGGCAGCAGAGGCAAGTTACCAAACCAAAACAAACCACTCTGACACAAGCTTTTGAGAAAGGCGCTCCATATGACAGGACAAGCAAGCGATGGAAAGACATAACAGAAGCAGTTACCTTTTACCTCGGAAAAGATATGGTTCCCATCAAAACTGTAGAAAAAGGGTTTAAAAGTCTGCCGAAAGTAATTGATCTGCGATATGAGCTGCCCAGCCGAAAATATTTCTCTAGCACTGCCATTCCACGTCTGTACTCCGAATGCCGTTAAAAAACGGAACGCGAGGTTCAGAGGTATTGTCATGTCATCAGTGTTATACCGACAATGTTGAATAATTCAGTAATAGTTTAAGAATTGCATTAGCCCATAATAAGAGTTGCCATTTTTATTGTTTACCATTTGTAAGTTTTTGTTCTTGTTGATATTTTGTTCTGAAGTAACTTTAAGTATTTATTTAGCTTTAAATAAACTTGTTGGCAAAATTGCACGAACTGATTAAAATCTGTTCAGAAATGTTCTTTGTCTAAAATCCTGTTTTTGTTCTTTAGGACTATATTTTTACAAAGGAAAATAGTTTGGTTGTACTGTTCAGTAATTTGCAAAATAGTAAAATATATATCATTCAAATCAGTATAAATATTGTGATAAAATCGAAATCGTGATTTGATATTTTTGCCATATCGCCCACCCCTACATACAGGTATCGAAAATTTTACCTAGCCTTACTCTCATCACACCAGGCGTAACCAATCTGGCATCAATCACATACATTGTAATACATACATCAGACTTTTTAATAGTCTCTTTCTGAAACATTAATATAGCTACTTCTCATATACATAAGTGCAATTATAACGCATTTTGCTATACTTAGATTAAGATGGCACAGTTATTAAAACTCTAAATGCATAAGTACAGTGGATATAAAATGTGTACACACCCCTGTTGAAATGCCAGGTTTTTGTGATGTAAAAAATGAGATACACTAAATCATTTCAAAACTTTTCCCACCTTTAGTGTGACCTAACCTGCACAATTCAATTGAAAAACAAACAAATCTGTTAAGGGGAAACATAAAAAAAAACCATGTACAATAAGCTGGTTGCATAAGTGTGCACACCCATAAACTAATACTTTGTTGAAGCACCTTTTGATTTAACTACAGCATTCAGTCTTTTTGGGTACACAGCTGCCATAAATTAAAGTCACTCTGATTAACCCCAAATACAGTTCAAAGTTGTCCTGGTAGGATTTACCTGACATTTACTCTGTTACATCCTACAGCAAAAGCCATGGTTCACAGAGAGCTTACAAAGCATCAAAGGGATCTCAATGTTGACAGGTATCAGTCAGGAGAAGGGTACAAAAAAATTGTATTCGATGTACCATGGAAAACAGAGAAGATAGTCATCAAGAAGTGGAGAAAATATAGGATAACTGGACGCCCCTCCAAAATTGATGAAAAGACAAGATGAAAACTGGTCATGGAGGCTGCCAAGAGGTTACAGCCACCACACCTTGCCAGGCAATAAGACTAGTCTACTATGCTACTGACCAAAAACTTTGTCACCTCCAAGAAATCACATCTCCGTCACCTCAGTCAGCTCCAGCATGCACCAACTGATACACAAATCCAGTGTTCCATTGATAAAAGTAATTTTCACATCACTAGCTGGAGAATTCAGTGAAGGAAGATAATGGCTCTTTAATTTCCATCCATGTTTTCCAGTGAATGACTCTGGGAAAATTCATATTTTTCCCTTGTGGAAATAAGAAATTTCTACATGCGTCAGCCACAGTGTTTCGGAAGGGCTGCCACCCTGTCGGCAGCACACTGGGCTGTCAAACGGGCGTCCGGCTCATGGTCCCAGCAGTCTTCTATAATGTCCTTCATGGCAGAGAATGCCTGAAATGCAAAAGTTATGGAATAAGCAAAGCAGCCCATACAGTGGTGTGAAAAAGTGCTTGCCCCTTTCTGATTTATTTTTTTGTATGTTTATTTCAGATCAAACTAATTTAAATATTAGACAAAGGATGACACAAGTAAACACAAAATGCAGTTTTAAAATGAAGGTGTTTATTATTAAGGGGGAAAAAATCCAAACCTACATGGCCCTGTGTGAAAAAGTGATTGCCCCCTAAACCTAATAACTGGTTGGGCCACAATTAGCAGCAACAACTGCAATCAAGTGTTTGTGATAACTGGCAATGAGTCCTTTACAGCGCTGTGGAGGAATTTTGGCCCCCTCATCTTTGCAGAATTGTTGTAATTCAGCCTCATTGGAGGGTTTTCGAGCATGAACCGCCTTTTTAAGGTCATGCCACAGCATCTCAATCAGATTCAGGTCAGGACTTTGACTAGGCCACTCCAAAGTCTTCATTTTGTTTTCCTTAAGCCATTTTGAATTTTTGTCCTGCTGCAGAACCCAAGTGTGCTTCAGCTTGAGGGCGCGAACAGATGGCCAGACATTCTCCTTCAGGATGTTTGGGTAGATAGCAGAATTCATGGTTCCATTTACCACAGCAAGTCTTCCAGGTCCTGAGGCAGCAAAACAGCCCCAAACCATCACAGTACAGCCACCATATTTTACTGTTGGTATGATGTTCCTTTTCTGAAATGCTGTGTTAGTTTTATGTCAGATGTAATGGGACACACACCTTCCAAAAAGTTCAACTTTTGTCTCGTCAGTCCACAGAGTATTTTCCCAAAAGTCTTGGGGATCATCAAGATGTTTTCTGGCAAAACTGAGATGAGCTTTTATGTTCCTTTTGCTCAGCAGTGGTTTGTCTTGGAGCTCTGCCATCAGGCCATTTTTGGCCAGTCTTTCTTATGGTGCAGTCATGAACACTGAAATTAACTGAGGCAAGTGAGGCCTGCAGGTCTTTGGATGTTGTTCTGGGGTCTTTTGTGACCTTTTGGATGAGTCGACACTGCGCTCTTGGGATAATTATGGTCGGCCAGCCACTCCTGGGAAGGTTCACCACTGTTCCATGTTTTCACCATTTGTGGATAATGGCTCTCACTGTGATTCGAGTCCCAAAGCTTTAGAAATGGCTTTATATCCTTTTCCAGACTGATAGATCTCAATTGCTTTGTTTCTCATTTGTTCCTGAATTTCCTTGGATCGTGGCATGATGTCTGCCTTTTGAGGATGTTTTGGTCTACTCCACTTTGTCAGGCATGTCCAAGTGATTTCTTCATTGAGAACAGGTGTGGCAGTAATCAGGCCTGGGTGTGGCTAGAGAAATTGAACTCAGCTTTCTAAAGATATGATACACCACAGTTCATTTATGTTTTAACAGGGTGGGGGCAATCACTTTTTCACACAGGGCCTTGTAGGTTTGGATTTTTCCCCCTTAATAATAAACACCTTCATTTAAAAACTGCATTTTGTGTCTACTAGTGTCAACTTTGTCTAATATTTAAATTTGATTGATGATCTGAAACATTTACGTGTGACAAACATACAAAAAATAAGAAATTAGGAGGGGGCAAACACTTTTTCACACCACTGTATTTCTGTCAAAATAATCAATCATATCACTGACAGAAAAGTCTACTTAATATTCATCAGTGATGAATCAATTCAAAAGAAACATACGTACTTTGGCAATGTACTTATTTTCATATTCAAAATACCAGGACATGTATCTCTAGTAAGACTTCACAACCCATGATGACTGGATTTATTATACATAAGCTGGTTCAAGCTACTTCTGATCAGACAACAAAAGAAACTCCATAAC